GGGGTGGGTGTGTGCAGGGCAATGGGAGTCCGCAGAGCTGCACAGTGAAGGGGCAGATGTGTAGTGCAGCGAGTGAAAACCGGGGACAGGATGGTGGCCAAATTGTGTTGACAGGGAGAGGGGGTGCATGGAAAAATTTTAGGACACCAGCTAAAAAAGGATGGAGGAAGGTATTGTTACTGCTCAGTCTGCAGTACCTGGAGTGTGGAACTTGTCACTCCATAATGTTTAAGAGCCACTTCCATGGCTTCATTCTGGTGCTCAGTGTTCTCCTTCCACTCCCTCCTCTCATTGTCCCTTCACTCATTTAATTTTCTTTTCAGCAGCAACCTGTAGCATAAGCTCATGGACAAAGTCATTTTTATTTCTTTGCAAATGCTTCCTTGCTCTGTGCAGGCGTTAAGCAGGCAAGTCTGGGATCCCAAGGTTAAATCTGAGAAGCCAAAATGCTACATTTTACAGAGGATCCTTTGTGCTGCAATCTAACCTTAGAGACAACTCCCATGAGCCCTTGGGGAAAAGGAGGCTCTTCGAGGTATAGAGAGAAAGAGAAAGAGAGAGAGTTAGGCTAGGCTCCAGTTTGGAGAGAGGAGCCAAGCTGCTGGCGTGGAGCCTTTCAGGCCAGGAGCTGTTGGACTGCAGCTAGAGCCTGTTAGTGAGATCCTGCTGGAGCTTGGATCTAGCATGATGCTTTGGGGACTGCTGGGGATTTCCCTGGAGGGGAGAGGTCCTGACTGTGCCTCTGGCTGGGAAAAGCCTACATAACACTGCACAGGAGGTAACTGAGTGACTGGGGCTGTTCGGAAAAGTGCTGCCTGGAACAGAGCACAGAAAATAGACTGACGATGGGTCCAAAGACAGCAGGTGTGATCTGTCCAGTTAACCAGAGCTGCTGCCATTTGGTGGGGCCTTCTCCAGTGGCAGGGGGATTTTGCAGCTGGCTGCCTGCCAGGACTGACACACAGAACCTGCACAGTGCTGTTTCCTCTCCAACTGCAGACCCTCAAGCGCGCCCACAGAAGCAAGCATCTTGGACTCTGAATCCAGAGGCATGCACAATCTGGGGTGGGATAAATGGTGGCAGTATAAATGCCAGATGGATACGTTTCCTTCCTTTCTGTGTACATTGTTAATTGATTTTATTCACTTCTAATCTATTTCTTTAAGTGGTTAAGTAAAGGTGTGTTAATTCTAATTTAATCCATTAGATGTACATTATTTATAATTGTTGTCTTGGAGTTAGACCCAGATTATTGCTGAAATAATTGTATTCCTTGGAGGCTCCCAAGGCACACCATTAAGTGTGTACAGGGCCAGCCAGGTAGAGGCATCGCCATTGTACAGCCGGTCCCCGAATAACTAACAGGTTACGTACCAAACACCGGGTCATAACTCGATTTGTTTATAAGTCGGGAATACATGATTTTAAATACGGCCGTCGATTTGTTTGTAAGTCGGGAATACATGCTTTTAAATACGGCCACACTGTTTGTAAGTGCGGCTGGTGCGTTCATAAGTCGGGGACCGGCTGTAATGGGGTTCATGGGAGGTTGGTCGTAAGTCAACACATTCGTAACTCGGGTACCAGCTATATATTCTTTAGGTGCAAGGGATGAATAGGGAATCCCCAACTAAACAGTATCACCACTGGGGTACTCAGGATTTCCTTTTATGTTAAAAAGATCAGGGGCCCAGGCACACATGTGAGTGTGACTTGCTCCTAAGTAATCCGGGGCGAAAAAAGGGGGTTACACCTAAATGCATAAGAGGAAGCCTAAACTTGGGTGCCAAATCCCTTTACATCAGGGAAGATGATAAACATGATTGGTCCAGGTTAAAAATAGAAAAGACAACTGTCATTACATGATGCAAAACAATAAGAATTAAGTTTACAGAAACAAAGAAAATTCTGTAAAAAAAAAAAACAACCCTTGATTTAACACAGATACTCATGGTCATGTTAGCCTGCAAAAGTTCACTGAAGGCATGGGGCTTAGGTAATTTTTGCATATTAAGTTAATACATTAAATTCCCTTTATACACTTCCCAGAAAAAAAGCTTCATTAAAGCTAAGTTAAGTTTGAGCAATCTGAGTCAGTAATTAAAGGGTAAAAATCCCTCTAAGAATGTTGTACTTAGTAAAAACAATTGCTAAGAAATTCAAAGTCAATGTTAACATTTCTAGTGTTAGCTTTGTGCAAGATTTTAAAGTTTTTTCCATTCAGGTGTTCTGATTTCATGAGCTGTAGCTATGTGGTGTGTATGTTTAAATACACTTGATATCACAAGTGGCCAATCAAGCCCTCAGTATTTTACAGAACAGTGAACCTTAAACTGCACTAAGATTGGAGAAAGATGCTCTAACCTGGTCTAGGACAAATTACTGCAAAATACAGTAAAACTCCATTAGACAGGCATCCAATGCTCCAGCACTCCTGATGGCCAGGCACCATCAGGAACCCAGAAGTGCTGGAGCAGCCGGACAAATGGAGCTGCTCTGCGCCTGGGCTGCCCCATCCAGCCCCCGC